TGGGCGAGGGAGGAGCCTGGCTTCCTCCGCCAGCGAGGCGACGAGCGGCTTCACACGCGCTCCGCCGGGTCCCCGCTTCGTTGGTGGCCTCCGAGCCCAGCCACCCCCGGGCTCGCACGAGGGAACCGTTTTCGGCTCCAGTGACAGAGGCGTCAGCAAACACGGCTATTAATAGCGGTGTCAAAGGAACGGGATGGTCGGGCTGTCCAAATGCTGGCACGGCCCTGCTTGTGCTGATAGCGAGTGCCCTTTGCTTGTTCTCGCACCGCCAGGTCCTCTAATCTATTCTTCCAACCGCAGGCGTTTCTGTCACCCTGTCACCGGGTCCCCTGCCCTGACATTTTGTCCTCTTGGGACGGCTGCAGGTCCCTGCTCGCTTTTGCTGGCCCCTATTCTGCGCTCCAGAAAGGACACAAAACTAGACAAAGTGCATTGAAGGAATGAGACGGGGTCCCCGCCAGCACTGCCAGTTTGCCAGGACTGCCTTGCCTTTGCCGGGCCCCGGCACACTGAGACCTCCTGCTGGGGCACCCGGGCATCACCACAGAGAGAAGAGATTTTCCTGCACTGAAGGACTCACCTGGATTTCTGCTTTCATTCTGCAAAGAGCTGGAGGCACCTCTGGGTGGCAGATCATGCTGATCTCTGTCGCAATGATGGGAAAACTGAGGCAAAGAGGTGCCATGACTTACCCTAGGTGACTTGCCCTGGGTGAACAAGGACCAGGAGGGCATAATTCATGTTCTGCCCCACTTCTCTGCCATGCAGCCCTTCATCAGGGTGTTGTGCCCTCAGGAATAGGCCCCACAAGTTCTTGGTGTTAAATCCCAGGTTCTTCACAAAAAGCGATTCTTGCTATTCAAAGGCCATGACTATCCCGTGAACCTCTGCGCTGACAATAGCTGAGTGGCAGCATAACTCTCAGTCAGCTCTGCCTCTGTTTTCTCTTCCTCCATGTCCCTTATTTTAAAGCACACACATTGCAAGGCCTTTTGCTGGCTGATATTTTTAAAGGAAGAAGCTTGGAAAAAAGGTAATAGAACAAAAACCTCAGCCTTGCAGCAAACCAACAGCAAGACATCACAGGCCTGACTGCAGTAACCCCCCTTCCATTGCTGCATCGCATTGGCCCACGTCTCCCCCCCGCTACTCCTCAGGAGCGAGTCATGGAATTGGGCTGGCCTTTGCGTGAACGTCAGAGCCAGCTCTTGGCTCCGGTGTCAGGGCTGAGGCATGGACATCCTGACCTCTCAGCACCTGCCTGGACTTGCACTGGTGCAATGAGAGTCTTAGCACTGGAGTTTAATTTGCCCTTCCAGGCATCTGGTGGAAGAACATGCAGAATTAGGGATGGGTGCAGGAAAGGCATCCCAAGCAAATAAAGCTGCACAAGAACACTCTCCACCAAGGACCATTCATCTGTTATAACACCCATGACAGAGATGCTGTCCCGGGGCCTAGGGAGATTCCTTGGCTCTGTTCGTGACAGATGGAGAATTCGTTGCTTCCCCTTAACCCATCCGTTCTCCTTATTGATGGGGAGGAGCTAACACCAGAGCTGCAGCATCACTATTTGGATACATCCAGTACTTCAGCAGCAATAAATCTGCTCTAAACAGCTTTTGCTGCTTCCCACCTGTTCGCCAGGAGAGGATCAAGTTGACAAAAATCTTTTGCCAGTTTGTATTTTCATCCAGGACTTTGTCACAAATCCAGGTTTCAATAAAAGCCTGTTCACGAAGGAGGGAAAGGTAGCTACTATCACAGCACATCTCTTCCCCAGAATATCACCTTTCCTGGAGATCTCTGGTTCCTAGGTAGCTTTTGTTAAGTTGCCTGAATTTCCTTAAATCTCAAATAGCCCCTTTTCTTGTCTCTGCCCCCCACCTCTTCATCAGAAAGCCTGGCAGGACCCAAGCAGGGTCTGCAGGCTCTCTTGCTGACTGCACCAGGGAGCCAAAATCTCTCTTGCAAGAATGGCAACAGAGAGAGCCAGGCTGGGACCACCACAGTTTATTACAGATAAACACCCAAAGGGATTTCATTAACAAGTCAGTTCATTCACAAGAGAAAAAACCATCAGAGGACAATGAAGTGCAACCCACAGCAACAACACACAGCGGGAAAGTCCTGTTGTCGGCCAGCACAGCACAAGAGGCACAACAGTACTGGCTCCTCAAGATGGGAGATGTGCCAGGCCAGCGCGCCCACGCAGCCGGCCCTGGGGACCACGAGCTCCCACAGGACCGTGTCACTCCCCCAGCCCAAGGGGCAACAGATGTCCCATATGGGCACACGAGGGAAGTATACGAGCAGCAAATCCACATCAGCCAATTGTAGTGATGGAGGGAAAAAAAATTAAATAAAAAAAAAAATCACTATATGAAACCATGTGGATAAAAACAAAAGGGGCAGCCATGGCAGGATGGGCGAATCCTCCCTGGGCAGCCAGGATCCAGGAGGTGGAAAGGGAGCCCTACCTCACTTGGTGACCATTTCCCAAGCCCTGGGTATCTCTTGGTGAGCCCCCAGGCTGCCCTGGCAGCAGGAGGACCCTGAGCAGAACCATTAAAGCAGCTGCCCACACTGTGCAGCAAGAGGCCAAGCAGGGTCCCCAGGACCAGTTCTCTGCACCATCTTATCTCAGGGCCTGAGAAGGTGGCAGTGAAAGCTGCAAAGATCCAGGCTCCTGCCCCAGAACCACATCCAGCACCATGACACACTGTCTCCCTGGAGCTATAAAAGAGCCTTGAGACAGGGCACCTCCTGCTGGACAGCACAGCCCTCCCCACATCCCTTATCTGAAACGCCTGGGAAAGGACATATTTACACCCAGATGCACCACAGTGACGTTAGCTCACAGATGCCAGGTGCACCAGCTCACATGCTGCCTGCGCTCCCCCAACCACGCGTGTCCCCACACATTCCAGTGACTGTGCTCATGCCCCACATCCCATCCCACCAACCCAGCTCGGTATACCGTCACCTGCCAACATCCCTGCCGTTCCCAGGCCTGTGCGGCCGGGGTTTCCTAAGGGCTTCCTGACGATCCTGTTCCTCTTGCAACGTCATCTCCCGGGCTGGTGGGGAGGCCTCTGCACGGCCCATCTGTAAGCTGAGCTTGGCAAGACTTCCAAGATGTGATCTTCAGGAAACACCTTGGAAATGTTTACTTGGAGGCCAGGCCCTTATCCCACCCCGATCTGCCAAAAGGGTCTCAGAGACAGCTTGAATCCCAATATCTGGGGTTTGCATTAACAAGAAAAGACCTTTTTATAGAACTGAATATTAATAGATGTGTCACTGCAATACTCATTTCTTTCAAGGCTTTTTTTGTTTGGATTTTAGACCTTCCTCTGACACGTGTCACCCAAATGTGACAAATAACAGTCTGTCAAAGTGAAACAGTTCAGGGGAAAAAAGTGCAATTTGCTTCTCACTGCTAGGGCAGGATTTAGTACAATAAGAAAAGTCTCCAGCGCCACTGAAGATATCATTAGCTTGTTTATATATTTGTCCAAAATGCTATAACTTAAGCTTTAGCCTTGCTCTCAGAAAAGGCTGAGCTGTTTTAGCTGAAATCTCCCTGCAAAGTTGAGTGAGAGGCAGACACAGACCCAGGAAAACTTCAGCCCATGCCGTTTGTTTGGCAAAGTTGGAAAATACTATCGGATAATACTGGGCATCCTTCATACCAGACTGTCACTTGTGCTGCCTAGCAAGAGAGCACAAGAAATAAGTAATTCAAAAAAGTTTTTATCCTGAGAGCATCCTTCACAACAAGGCTTTGTGCAATAGCGTCAGAGCGACTTTCACACCGATTTTAGAGCAGCTCTCCAACTGATTTCTCTTCCAGTTTTTAAATTGGGAATTTCGTTCTTTCTCAGTGTGTCAATAGCAGAGGTGTCTATTTTCAGAAACACCAGAGATTTTAAGAAGCTGAGGAGAAAAAGATTATCAACTCCTATGGCCTCAGCTTATAGAAAATAAAAAAAAAAAATCTTTTAATTAAACCCCACCCACCCAGGCTCAGATTCCCTGCAGATTTACCTAATGGACTTCAAACGCTGTCCCTAATATATTAGGGCCTGCTTTTAGCTTAATTCAAATCGTAGGCATGTTCCTGAGGACTCTGGAAGGCACATACAATGGCTGGGCTTTGGATGCCTTATGAGATATTTAAGTGCTAACTCTTGTAACTGTCAAACCCATCCTTAAAAACCTGGGCCAACAATATATTGGCCCAAAGCAACAAGCAGGAAACAATTTTTTTTTTTTTAAATAAGTGCTTGTTTCTGTTTTTCCAAATTTCAGTGCATGAAGGGAAAGTTGGTGCACTGACAAATCTTGATGGAAGGACAAAGACCTGAAAGATTTTCTGGTTGGGGAACAGGGGCTGAATCTGTCAGGGAGTTTCCCACTGAGGGAACAGTCTTATGGTTTACATTTAATTAAAGGAGACAATATTTTGTTTCAAAGCTGCAAGAAGGTTTTTGAGCACATGCAACTTTTCAGTTCAACAGTTCAGCCCAAACATTTGTTTTTTTAAATCAAGGACCTGGACTGAGAATTCCCCAGGGGCTTTAAAAAAATGCCAATAAGTCAAACCTGCCTGGCACAAACGGTCCAAAAAAGGGGAGAGCCATCCTGAAAGACTTTGTCTGAAGCAAGTGCAGAGCGTGTACGAACAGGGAAACGGTTCGTGGGGCTGCCCGTTGAGGGACAGCTTCCGGCCCCACGTGGAATGGGGCAGGGAACAGCCCTGGGCCAGCAGCACAAGGTCACGACATTGCAGAGAATATACAGGCAAAAAGAAGCCTTTTGTTAACTCCTTCCTCCACTGTGCTCCGGACAAGGCTCCAGCAAGGGAATAACCTCGCGCTTGCCAGGGCAAATGCTCTCCGCCTTGCAGACCGTGACCTAACTCAGTGCGTGGTGCCCGGAGGCAAAGTCTGTGCAGCGTGTCAGCCCGCGCGGGCACGTGCCCGAGGCTGCGGGACCAGTCAGCTCTGCTATTTGCTGTTTGGGGTTTGCTTGTCTTGCGCCGTCCGCTTGTGCTTCTGGGCGACGCCGTAAGGGACGTGGGCAGCGATGGTGCCCATTTCCTTGGCTCCCTCCACATGGAACATCTGGTCATCGAAGAAGATATGCGGCCGGATCTTCCTCAGCAGCGGTCCCTTGGGAGCCCCGGCCAGAAACAAAGCCTCATCTGTCTCCAGGCCCCAGCTGCGGAGAGTCTTTAGGGCCCGGGCTCCCGAGCTGGCAGCGCTCCTGGCAGTGACCAGGTAGGTGCGAATAGGACACTCCATCCTCAATCCCTTGGAATAAAATTTCTTCTGCAGCTTCCCCAGGGCCTCCAGGAAGCCCTTCAGAGGTCCCTGCCAAAGCGAGAGGAAACCATCACCCCACAGACCATCACACCTTCCCCTCCACCCTGCTGTCTAACTCCTACTCCCTCCAGAAAAGACAGCAAGGGGCCAGCCAGAGCCTTCACCAGGTCCACATCTGGTATGTCCAGGCTTGCCAAACCCCAGCTCATTCCCAGAGGGGAGAGCATCCCCTGGGCTGTCTTTCTCCCAGAGGCTCCCTGCTTACCCCATACCAAGACCCCTCAAGCACTACCTGGGCCAGAGGCTTGTTTTCGTGAGCCTTTTCATGCTCAAAGAACATGTCTAGGCCGTGAGCCTTCACGATCTGCTCAGATTCATCTGAGAAGAGCACGGCATCACCATCAAACGCTACCCGCAGCTGGTTCTCCGACACCTCCAGGTCTTTACTGGGGCTGAAGATGGTGGCTGCAGCAATCCCTGCAGAGATAAAGTGCAAGACGAGAGGTGGCAGTTATCCAAGGGCCCGGCCTCATGGGTCATCTGTGGAGGAGCAGAGCAAAACATGATGGCTTGGAAGCAAAGAGAGCAAGGAAACACACACAACAAATAGCACCCGCAGCTTGGCCCTGGAGGATGCAGAGGCCCCAAGACCTCTTCCAGCAAAAATGTTCCTAAATGACAACTCATTTTGCAAACAAGAGTTTAAGGGGGGAAACAGCATCTTTGCCTTGGAGGAGCTATGGAGCTTGAGGAAAGCCTTATTTCAATGCAAATTAGAGGCTCTCTGGAACATCAAGGATTCTCCATCCTTGATGGGATGTGGGACAAGGCAGGCCCCAACTGCAGAGCAACACAGAAGCTATTGCTCCTGGCACTGACCCCCAGCAGGCTCTGGGCTCCCCCCTCTGCCCCCCAAAGCCAGACCCCGGACTCACCCTCTTCAATGGCCCCACTCACTTTCTCGGCATCAGAGGAGAGGTAGAGGTTGGTGTGGTAGGCCTTGAGGTAACAGATGGGGCTGTTCCCTCCCGTCATGCAGAACCTCTCGATGAACAGATCTGAGGGCAGAGGGACACTGGAGTGAGCCTCACCGCCCCCAAAAGAGCCTGGACAGTGCTTTCTTGTGGCCTCCCAAGAGCCAGCAGCAAGCAGGATGGGGGCCAATTTTGGTACTAGCACAGACCTTCTGTTCATCAGCATCACCAGCAGCTGGGGTACCCTCACCACCAGCCAGCTTCCACTCAAAGCCCAGAAAAATTCAGAGAAACCACCCGTGGTTGATTTGAGGGAAGAGATGGAGAAAAACATCTCCTTATCTCGTTGCCAAGCAAGAACACCCTGCCTAAAAGCCAGCAGTTCCTGCTCAAAGGATGGGTTTGCTCTGAGCTTACCATAGTGGTTGATGCTGTTGATCAAGCGAACCCCGACCTGGGCATGGTTGTTGGTCATGAGGACGATGTCAAAGAGCTCCTCGCTGTCAGGGTAGAGCTCACGCAGCTGCATGTTGACAGCTTCCAGCGCCTGCAGCACCCAAGGATGAGGGAGGGTCACCAAGCCCCAGATGCCAGCACCCACCCATGGCTCTAAGTAAGCAAAACACTGTGTTCATCAAAATCAGGAATTTGGCCCAACCCCAGCTACACTCTGAGCCATGCCTAAATCAGCAAACAGCTTTAGCTGGGGAAAAAAAGCTGATTTAGGGAAAAAACCTCCAGCCACTTTATTTTCAAACACAACCGAGTTTCACATTTTCATTAGAAGATAAGGTTAAATTAGCGTGAAGCTGCATATAAATGTTTTTCAAGCAACCCGCAATGAAGCAAGTCTCTCCCCACGGAGCTGATTTGTTTATTTATTGGGAATAGGCAAGAGCGCTTCAGCAAGGGCCAGCAGATGAAACAGTGCCAAATCCAGTGGAGTTGGGGCAGAAATTGGAAAATGTTTGTAAAATTTGAAACGTTTTATTTCAACATGTCAAAATTAGAAGCTGGCTGACTATGTGGCAAGACTAAATTCAGCCAATTTTTTTTGAGATCAAGAATTCTCTAAAGGGAAACTTTAAATATGATCCAAAGAGATAATTTTTTCATTTCTTAGGCCATTTGGAAAAGTCAGCATTTCCTCCGTCCTGGAAGAGGCACACCACTTGCCAGAAGGCTTATCCGTGGTTACCTCGCTTCCAACATGCTGCTTATTTCCCATCACTTCCCCACACGAGTGCTTCGCAGTACCCCCCCCGCGCAAAGGGTTTGGGCAAGCGTCGCGATGCAGATACAGACTACTCAGCATCCTCAGGGCCTGCCCCGAATCTTCCCCTTGCCCCATGGTGCCCGGGCCGCCCAGCTTGGCAGGCAGGCGCTCACCTTGACAAAGGGGAAGGCAGCGCCAGGGAGGAAGGGCTCGTTTTCATGGTCCAGCTGGTATTTCACATAGGCCTCCACCCCTTGCTCGTTGTAGATCTTCTGCTCCTCTTCCATACGGAAGAGTGCCCGTGACGACACTGCGATGGTGATGGCGTTCTCGGGCTTTGGCTGCGTGGCAGAGGGAGAAAGTAGGGGCATGGCCACAGGCCAGGGCTCCTGCTGGTGCAGCCCACCCCACGGCGCCACGCTCAGCATCCGCGCTCCTGTGGTCCACGCAGGCAGAGCTGCTCGTGCTCCCTGCGCTCTTCAGCATGGTCTAAGCCAGCTCCCTGCCTATATCTGTCCCCCCAGCTGAGGGACAATTACAGGCATCTTGCGCAGAAATTGGTGCCTGATGCCTCCCTGCAGCATCTGTTGGCCTTTAACAGGAAAGGCCACACTCAGAGGCCGCACGGCATGGATGACACTGACTGCACGTCCGTAGCAATCACAGCACGGCTTTGAAAGGTCGGCAGCTGCAACCCTGATCTTGCAATGCTTCAACAGATGAAGCCCTGGATATACCCCGATGCACCGTCCTGGCAATTTTGCGATCCCTGAGGCCTTTTTCCCACTGCCTGCCCCATGCTCAGCCCTCCCGCCACAAACAGAGGCTCCATCCAGACCCAATGCACCACATCAGGACAACCACTTCCCCCCTGCAGAGGGAATTAGTGCAGCTCTCTCCCTCCTCCCCAGCCAGGGAAAAAAAAACAACAACACACACACACTGCGGCTCAGCCAGCTCTGCACTCCCACGACGTAGTCCAGATGTGACAAACAACCCGTGCCAGCTTGGCTTACAAAACACTTGATATAGCTATTGTGGGCGGAAACATGACAAACAGGTGGTGCAAGCACTGATTTATGAGTCATTATTATTAGCATTTGAGGGTTTGATCCAAAATCCACTGAAGTCAACAAGGGGCCTCTAGGGGGACTTGGCAGCAAGAACAGGGACACCAGAAAAGTCAGGCTCATCTTGACCCCCACAGTACTCCCTCTCTCCTTAGAGGGCAGAAGGGTGTTAATCCCTATCACTCAATGCAAGCACAAAAACAAATTCATTACTGATGGCCAATGAGAAACTACTTGCACCCAGGACAGCAAATCCTAGAAGGGGACCATGGTGTAGGCAGCCCTGTCCTGAACTGCCAGAGACTGTTTGGGAGAGTCTCCCAAACTGAGAGGGTTTGAGAAGGTTTGGGGGCTCGCACAGGGGATCATGCCCAGGCTAACCACAGGCACCTAAAGGAGAGGAGACAGCTGGCACAGAGCTGCAGCTGGGCTGCAGAGCTGGAGGGAGACCAGCAAGGCTGAGGTGTCCATGGGGAGTCCTTCTCCCCTCCGCTGCCCACACGGCGAGCCGCAACCTGAACCACAGCAGCCCTCGGGGGCCTGGCAGAGGGTGCACCTCTGCAGGGAGCCTGGGAAAGTCCAGGCCGTCAGCACTTCGGAAACACCTCACCCGCAACTCCTCTGCTATTTCCAGGATCCTCACATACCGCATGGCCCCAGTGAGTAATCCTCCAGCAGTGCTGTTTGCTCGGAGGTGGGAGGACTTCTTCTCCAGCCTGCTCTGCACGCCCAAGCCCTCCAAAGTTCAAGCTCCCACCCTGCCTAGGGCTGGGCTTTACAAAAACAGCAGCCTGACGAGGACAAGTTACCCCATCCACCTCGAGGAGCTTCTCTCCCCGCAGGGCTGGGCTTGCTCTGCCCTGATCTCGGCTCTGCCAATCCTGCCCAGCGCAGGGACGCACCCAGGAATGAGTCAACAGTAGCCCCCGTGCCGTTCCCAGCACCATGCCGCCCCACAAGCGGCACCCAGGGCCAGCCCCGCAGCGGGGTCAGTTCGCCCCAGATGCCTCCAAGGCTGCATCAGTACCCGAAATCCACAGCAAGCAGATTAAGCGGTGGTGGATTGGACTAGATACAGATTAGCTCAGGCTGAGATTATCACTGTGGCCAGAGGGATCCCTTTCCCACTGCATTTGCAGAAAAATAAGATCTATTTCCAATTGGCTCTTTCAAGAAAGGTGAATAACCCCCCCAGGACACACACATTCATTCACATGCACGCAGAAGCCAAACAGCAACAGCAGTGGGGACAGCAACATTGCTCCAGTAAGTGAATCACAGCCAGGTCCCCATCTTAAGTTTAGCTTCCTGGTGAGTTTTAGCTATTAACCTGTCATGGGCCAAGTCTTTGCTCTAGGTCATTAATTAATAACTCTGGTGTCATGGGCCATTTATTAACTGAAAATATTAACAACTGTTAAAGGTTTTGGCACATCCGGCCATTAGCCTTTAGCAAGGAATCCTTCCTGCTCCTTTGCACAGCTCTCAAGTCACTGCAGATCTAAATCATTTATCCAGGTAAGTAGGAGAGCTGGCGGCATGCTGCCGGCATCCATTCCCACCTCCCGGTCCCCAGGGGAGCGCAGGGAAGCACATCCTCCACAACCAGCCACCCAAGAGGCTCCTGAGCAGGGAAACTAGGTCAGCATCATGCCCAGCGCAGAGGCATGTGCAGGGGGACAGACGCACGTGCGGGGCCATGAGCCTACTCACCGGATGCCCAGCCTGAATTTGCATCTTTATCTGCCTGCAGCACACACCTTGCGCTGCTGGGTGCCAAGAGTACAGGCACCTTGCGTAATGGTAACAGACTGCTCAAGGTCCCTTCCCTGTCATTTAAAGGCACAAGCCTCCAGGAGGTTCATTTAAGAGGTAATAAACACAGCAATAAAAATAACCATAAGCTTGGGGCCCAACCGTGCCCCTGCGTGGGCTGCTGGAGCCCCAAGCACCCTGCAGCCAGGAAGCCCGGCCTCTGGGAATGAGACTTGCTGGATCCTGTCCACTCCTGCCAAGGGAGATTTCCACCGTAGGAGCATTTTCTGCAAGAAAGTCTCACCAGGGTGTTAATTCAGCTCACAGCTCCGGCTGGGCTGGAACAGCCCTTCTGTTCTCTGGGAAACGCTGACATTTAAGAAATAAGACAATTCTGCTCTGGAAGGAGGGAGCCTCATTGTGACATCTCTTTGAAGTGGAGGTTTCATTTGGAAATGTTCCCTTTCCAAGGCTGTTTGGATGTTTCTTCATCCCCATTATTACTGCAGGTGATCATTACTACTTTCAAAAATTACCTTTAAAAGTCACGGCACTATGAGAACTGTAGCACCTCAGTTCCCCCATCAAAGGGCTGCCAACAATCCAACAAATCCCATTTTGCCTGTGAAACATCACAGCTTTGGGGAAGAGCGCCCTTCGTTTTTAACAGAAAGCATGCACGGGGAGGGGGGTCGCCTTACTCCCGGCCCTCCTGGGGATCAGGCAGCATCGCTATCTCTGTCACACAGACGAAGAGCTGAACAATTACAAATGTACGCTATTCACCCACGGCCACATGGCAATCGTGGGCTCGAGTCAGGAGAGAGCTCAGTGCCTCCACTGCCCCACTCCCACTTCTGCAGTAAAAGGACCAGGCAATAAATGATACAATTATTTATCTGCCAGCACCTAGTTCTGCGAGCCCCCGGGGGGGCTGCCCAGGATCCCATGCCAAGGCACCTTCCTGCTCCAACCCCTGGACCAGAGGGTTTGCACACTGAATAACAAACACTGCTTCATCCTCAGAGCCACAGCCAAAGCTGGGCAAGGTCAGTTAAGGTCAGTTAAAGCTCATCATCCAACATAACCCCCAGGAAGCAGCCACAGGGCTCTGCTCAGCCAAATCCAACCGAATGCAGTAGTTGGGGGGGTCATAGTCAGCTCTTCTCCCCTCCCTTCCCACGGGAAGGCCAGTCCCAGGCCCATCTTGGCTCTCAAGCAGAGGCTAAGGGTGCATTTAAAGAAAGCATTAGAAGGACAGCATGGGGGCGAAAGGTCCCCTCCTAGCCCTTGTGCCCCAGAGGCCTGCTAGGCACTGGCTGCAGCTCCGTGCTGCCCTCCCTGGGGACAAGTGCCCTGAAGGACCCCTGGAGCTGCATTTAACATGGCAGAAACCCACATTCCCACCAAAATTGCTTTCAGCAGCACCACAAACACAGATAAGATGGAGATGCCCACACAACCAGCACCTGGCACAGCCAGGCTGAACATCTTCCACCCTCCAAAGAGGAACGCCAGCCCTTCGCCCAGCCTCCAGAAGGTCTATCACATCCAAAGCCCATTCTCCAAAGCATCAATGACCTTTCCAGCAGTGTGGCTCCATAAAGCACAAAGCCAGCAGGGCCATGTCATCTCACACACGAGGGGCACGTGATGCCCAGGATGTCAGCACCAAGACAGAGACGTCTCCTCCGAGCGCCCACCAGGCTGAGAAGGAAATCCTGCTTGGGAGTGCTCGTGCAAAGACGACAGTAGTAGTATTCGTGGGCAGGGGTGCATTGAGACAGCATCCAGACCAGTTGAATTGTCTTTCAGGGAGCTCCAGGTCAGCGGCGGCTCCCGTTGCCATCTCTGGAGGCCTTCGCTGGCTGGTTCTGAGCTGGGGGGGACCACAGTGGGCACCCCATCCACACACCCCCAATGCAACAGATGCTTTTACGTTGCCTGGGGCCGAATCTGTCAGATCCACCTTGATCCTAAGAACTTGAACAAACTCTCTCAGCCCTGGGGACTTCCCCGGATGTCACAGAAGCCAAAGTCCTTGTGGTCAAATTCAAAATGCGGATGGGAAAATTGGATCCAGAACGAGGAGAGGGAGGGCTTGGTGCAGAGTGGAGTCTCCTTCCCTGCAGATATTCAAAACCCGTCTGGATGTGATCCTGGGAAATATGCTCTAGGTGACCCTGCTTGAGCAGGGAGGTTGGACTAGATGATCTCCAGAGGTCCCTTCCAACCTAAACGATTCTGTGATTCTGTGATTCAAGCATGGTCCCCATCATATCTAAAGCAACCCCCAAGTCACTGCAAGCAACACCTAGAGCAAAACCCAATAAACAAGGCGCCCCAACAAGCTGGGGAGGCCTCCATGGGCCCAGGGGACTGGCAGGGCTGAGGACAAGTGGGGCACCTAGAGCAGCACAACCAGTGGAAGGCGGTTCCCATCAGTCCAGCCTCTGCTCCCAAGCAGCGAGGCCACTGGAGAGGCTGGGGGACATTTTCCACATTGCTGAAGAGTGACAAGCCTCATCGCTGACCTCCTCGAGCTGGCAGGAGGGAGACCTGGGACAGGCACGAGAGCCAAGGCATGGGAAGAGCAGAGACCCCTGCAAAGTGGGGAACGCAGGCAGGTGGGCGCTTCTCGAGATGCCGCATTAGCCGATCCCCCAGCCAGCACCCCCCCCCCCCCTCCCTGCACCTCATGGCCCAGCTCCAGCCAGGGGCTGCTCTCAGTTCATGCCCTGCTCCTGCACAGATACCTGCTCCAATCGGCCGGGACACACAGCCAAGGAGACAGACAGACCTGACACCCGGAGGGGCGCAGATGCACAGCACAAAGACGGGTGACAGCAAACTCCATTTCCCCCATGCGCTACTGAGCTCCGGGAGGCTGCGAGCCCCCTGCTCAGGATCAGATTAAATTTCAAGGCAATGGCTGGGATGTTTATGAGTTCTCAAAACACATTATTTATAATACAGAAAAGTGCTGCGCAGCCATCCATCACGAGGTGTGACAGCCGCCTGGCAGGGCACCCAGCTGCACGGCCACGGGTGCCTCCCAACCTGCCCAAGCGGAGGGCACCCAGCTGGCCAGGGATCTGCAGGGACCAGCCCCAGCCCCGGCCGGGGGCACAGCCGAGCTGCGGGAACCACGTGCCCATCTGGACCTCAGTTCTGCCACCAGACTACTGCGCAAGTGCAGGTAAACCACATCACTGTCCCGTGCCTCAGTTTCCCCATCGGTAAAGCAGATAATCAGCCTAGTCACCAAGCATGCTGCAAGAAGGGGAAGAGGAGGAGGTCCAATAACATTGCAGGGGACTGGAAACATGGCATGAAAGATGAGCCACATCCCGCCCGCGCACAGGGCTGCCCCCCTCTCGCCTGCAGGGAGGGCGAAGGCAGGCGGCACGGCAAGCTCGCAGCAAATACAGGACTGGGGTCTCTGGCTGAGTCCCCCAGGTGGGGGAAAGCATCCAAGATGCTCAGAGCTGGGACCTGCAGAACTGCGATCTCGGACATCTCTCCTTGCCGGAGAAGTCACGCACGCCGTCTCGCCGCAGAAAGGCGCCCAGCGCCTCAAGACTCCCGACCTTGCTCCAGGCAGCGGCTTTGTGATGCCCTGCGCTGCAGAGGGTGCCCGCAGCTCAAAGGAAGGAGCTAGGGGTTGGGCAGCATGCAGGCCATGGGGTCCCCAGGACCTGTCTCCACCAGGCTGTCAGCACAGCACTGCAGCAGCTATTCTGAGACACAACAGCACTCACAGGCGCTCCCATTTTTAAACCCAGCAGGGCTCAGCCCCTGTTAGATAACACAGGCTTTTACTCTAATCTCTGAGACAAGAGGAGCTCAGCAGGGGCAGCTGTGGCCCCCGTGACACCACGCTGCATCAGGGGCAGGGATTTGGCCTCTGGACTGTCCCCCAGCTCTGCCTTGCCCACCCTCCCAGCCCACATGGGGGTCCCAGCCAGCTCTGGCCCTGACACAGCCTCCCACCTTGGCACTGGGGACAGGTGGCTCATGGGGCACTGAGCCACCCTGCAAGGACATCTGAGCCTGGTAACACCCTGGAGAGCCAGGGGGACCCCACCAACTCCCCAGGAACCCAGCAAGACCCAGAGAGACCGGGGCACCCAGAGAGACCCCAGGGGACCAAGGGTAACCCTGGGGACATGGAAGAGATGGGGCACCTAGAGCAACCCAAGGCTTCCCCAGGGACCCAGAATGACACAAGGGGCCAAGGGGAGACCCAGGGACACCCAGGGGACCTGGAGGAGATGGGGCATTCGGGGGGGACCCCAATGGACCTAGAGGAGAGGAGGCACCTGCAGTGAGGGAAACACAAGGGGGAGTGGACCCCAGGGGACCTGGGGAGACCCAGGGAGACTTGGCAAGATCCTGGGACACCCAGGGAGGACCCCAACAGACCTATAGGAGAGGGGGCACCCGGGGTGAGGCAATACAGAGGGGGACCCCGGTGACCTGGAGGAAAGGGGGCACCCAGAGGAAACCCAAAAGACTCAGCAGAGACAGGGCACCTGGGGAGACCTGGAGGGGACCCGAGGGGACCCCCAGGGGAGCCAGAGAAGATAGGGCACCTGGGGAGAGCAGGGGACACACAGAGGGGCCGGTTCCCACCCGGGCCGGGGCTCCCCCGCCGGGAGAGGGAGCGCAGCCCGGCTCGGCACCCCGGGGGCTCTCACCGATTTGGGTTTCTTCTTGGGAGCGAGGTTGTCGTAGAAAGCCTTGGCCTCCTCCCAGGGCCGCCCGGCCGCGGCGGCAGCAGCAGCGCCCGGCGGCT